CTCTTAGGAAGGGTTAAGTCACATTTCAGCCTTGCTGCAGTTGAACTGGGGTCTCACCTATTGGCGCTGCTCAGGAAAAAACAAAGAAAACCTCATAAAACAAACAAACAGACAAAACCCCCCAAAAAAGACCACCACAAAACCAAAAATATATTAAATTTAGGCACCAGACCTGTTGCTTTTAAACTGTTGGAAAAAACACAAAGACCCTGCCAACTATTTTGACCTTCAGTAGTCACAACTACTGATTCCTGATTAGCATAACTCATGATCCTACAACCAAACGCAGACCTTAGAAATCAATGCATCTTACTGTTTTTATAAACTTCAACTAATCTGATTTTCAGCTATGAGATTCCAGTTACTGATTCCATTTTCATTTGGTTTCATCATGCATTCCTGCATATTCTTTTGGGTCCCGAAGAAGCTAAAAAATAAAGGCACTATGCTTATGGACAAAATTTAGTTGATAAGCCATGCTGCTAAACTAAGGATAGCTTTAGGTACCCGTCAAACAGTTCCATTTTACCCTGCTTTAATACTTGTACATAAAATGCAAGACAAGTACCCTTAAAAGGAGTAAAACTTTTGTTATTCTATGTCTCAGCATTATTTAACAGCTGTTTCACGAAAAGACTAATGAAAAACTTTGGTGTATAGTTTGATCAAAGTAATGATTGAGAGGAAGAATGTTTGCTTTTCCTTTTAGCATGTTTTTCCCACTATTCTTTGAGATTCAGGACCTTCAGCATCACCTCTTCAAAAGTGCACTATGTTACTCAGGTTACTTAAGAACACAGAACCACATCTGTGCTATTCAACCCCCTGATGGTGGTTGGTGAGGTTTTTAAGGGTGGATGAGTCAGAACACTATCTGTATTCAGTACAGAAAGACCAAAAAAATCAATCTATTTAGGGAAAGAAGTTAGAAATAACAGAAGAAAAGGGTCCGCCTTTGGATTTTCCTACTTTACAGCAGCATTAGCTATGATGTATCACTGTTATGGAACAATACATCTGAACAGAAAAATACATTACATGCTTCAAAAACACTGAAAGCAGGAGTAGACCCAAAATGTCGTAATCTAGCATGCCTTTACTCAAAGATACGTGCTGCCCTTTTAAGTACTTACTTGTCTCCCTTTTTCCTCTCATACATGAACTTTTCCATTACATCAGTGCCTTTGAAAGTCTTTTTAGTTTTTGTTTTAGCTTTTAAATGTTAAGAAGCTTCATAATTTCAGAATGATCAGCTTTTGTCAAAACACTTTCATGAAAAGACACCAGACTATTTGAATAAAAATGAACACAGAGCGTCTATGGCAGTCTTCTCTCAAATAGGAAGCTACATGCTACACATACAACAGTAAAGAAAGGAAATTCAGACTGGCAATAGTAACATGCTTAATCCAATAGGAAGTAATGACATGAGAAAGGACTGGTACCAGAGCAGTAGGACACAACAACAAAGTATACATTTGTACAATTCTAGTTTACAAACAAGTAGAAATTGACAATTTTTATTTTTGTGCAGACAGCCTCACTGGAGCAGAAATACTGTTCCAAGGTCACGTCTGATGGAGGTTGTGCACTCCAGACACAGTATTTCATTCAATACCTGATCCTTCCGGTGCAGAAGTGACATTCAGCCATCTCACAGTGTAACATCATACAGTGTACCCTAACTTGACACCCGAGTGTCTTCCCTGGGCACATCCCATCTGTATTGCTGCTCACAGGTTGGGCATGTATGTAAGTACACCCAGAAGACTCCAAAGGCTGAGGGTAGACAGCACATTTCTGCACTAGCTCTTATAAGGTTACTGTGCTCCACACACCCCATGATCAGTTGATGCTTATCACTGTTGTTCAAACCTGATTATTTTAAACAAACAGCATACCAAATAAGCTGTTACAGCACTTCATTTTACCTCCTTTGGTCATCCTGGTCTCTTATTTCTATTGCTATCTGCACCTGCTACTATGACACTGCATTTTAGGATTAATCTGCCTGCTTTTGCTTTGTTGGTATTCTGTTTAAGAGCTACACATGGACCCAGAGTTGCCTTCTAAGGTCATCTGTCTAAAAAATGTTTGAAGCGACTGTAATGTTAAAGCATGACAGCTGATGTTATTTACAACCCTGCTGACCAAGAGAGAACGTGACTTTGGATAACCTAGAGGCTTTCCAATAATGCATAATCACCTCTTGATAAAATCCACAGCTCCCCTGAAACCTGGAAAGCTTCTAGACTTCAACTAGAACTCTACGCTACTATTTCTAATACAAAACTTTCCAATTTGTTCTATGTCACATTATTGTTAAGGTCTTCTTGTAAACCTTTTGTTTATAGGTACACTTCAATTCATCATGAGAGGGAAAATGTCCCTCTCCATGCATGCCCATTTGATTTCTACATCAGTGACCCAATTCTAGGCCTTTAAAACTTACATGATGTGGAATTAGTTCGCATTGGATACGCTCATTACTTGGTTGCTGCTTCTTACCTCTAACTCATTTAAATAATTCCTCCACATCAGGTTCTATTGCAGCACCTCCATGACCACTACTGACAGTCACCGATTTGATTTACAAATTGCTCTGATGGGATCAGATGTCGCCAAAGAGACAGTAAGGAAGCAGATGGAAGCTGGGAATCGATATGAGAAAAATAACAAAAGGAGAAAAGCAGAATGGAAGGAGCACAGAATATTGGTTTAAATAATACTGACTAAAAAGACGCATCTATCAGCACCTAATGGGTGCACACTATTCAGTGATTAGTCATTACTAGCCTTCACTTGTTTTCCTCAAACCATAAATTTTTCATAGTGAGAAGAATGCACAGTGAGAATCAATTCACCTTGAATTGCAACCTTTGTACACTGCTCATATCCATATTTCTTATTGTTGTAACAAAAGCTACCTCTTTGTCAAAGACTTACCAACATCTTAAATACTAGCTCTGCTTGTTTATAATTTTCATCATAATTACAGACTCAATCATAAATATTCATGCAGGACCACACCGTAAAGGCACATTCCACTTTCTAGATCACAGATGAAGGCAGTTCTCTAAACCTTTTACTGTGTGACCCCTACACAGAGGCATAGAGAAAGAAGTTGTGTGTGCATTCATGAGAAAACAAAATCCTGAAATGGTTCAAGTAAGATGGAGATTTTCTAATAAGGAGAACACATAGCAGCAATTCAATTATATACTGCTGTTTCTAAATGCAATGTCTCACTTGGGGGATAGTTGCTGAACAGATAGTTGCTGAACATGCTTGTTCAAATGCCTTTGCAGGATATATACAGAAACAACACTGGAATTTGGCTCCTAGTTACAGAGTGCTGGTTACTAATTTAACTATAAAGATACCAGGCCTCAAATTCTTGATTTCATGCCCATTCAACTGTCCAAACAAATAGCTCATTTCAGTGGGATTTAAATCCACATAATTATTAAAGAAGGCTTGGGACCAAAATATCATCTTCTTTTCTATAGATGCAAAGTGGATCAGAATATTTGGATCAGTTATCAAAATAATTTAATGCATTTCATTATAAACTAATTCAGAAATTGTATTAATGCACAAGAATAGAGTTGGTAGTTTGGAAAATTCTACTTTTAATAGAAACATTATCTGTCCTGAGGGACTGAGGTTTTATTGACCTAGGTTTAACTACACCAAATGTGTTGTGATCAATAACTACTCAGAACAATTCATTTTGCACTGAAAATCTACAGCATTAACACATAGTCCCTATCAGAAGACCTCTCCCATTCCAATTAGTTCCTTATATACGTCTAAGTGTTTTTATTGTCTCCACCTTCAGTAGATTATCTCAGAATCACTGGGATTGCTCAATAAAAGTTTAACCGTCTTGCGCTATGAATGTGCTGGTGCTCCATGTGGAGTGCTCGTTTCCTTCCTTTTACCGAACGCCAAACGGAGGGACACAATGGGTGTGTTGTGCTCTGTCTAGCACGGAACGTGCGATATCTTTAAAAAGGAGGTGTGAGCTGGCTTTAACACCACTACTCTTAACAGCACAAGTACCACAAACTAATCAACCACAGCACTGGGGCATGCAGTCCATTGAAAGCTGGTGAAAAAGCTGCTTTTTATTATGACCTACATACTGCACAGCAGCAGTTGGACAATATAAATCTAACGCTGAGGCTGAGCACAATGCATGGAATCCACTAGTGATGAACGGCAAACGTGCTCACGGGTTCTATAATATTTTATTTCACCCACGCTATCCTGAAAATAAAAAACACAATGACAATCCAAACAAAAAATAATCCCTGCCTTTTAGCAGAATTATCTACTAAAAAATTTATAATCTATTGGAAGCATCCTTCTGAATCAGCAACCATATGGAACATCACTCACACCGAAACATTTAAGGACAACGCAGTCAGATCAATGAATTCAGCAACCACACCGACCAAAGCCAACCTTCCAAGGCACGGATACCAAGAGAAGCTTGTTTCTTGCACGAAGTTGTGCCCAGCCGTGCCACAGCCCCGCACCAGCCCGTGCCCAGGTACCTCTCCCGCAGCAGCCGAGGGGCACGGCGGCTCCCTTTTGTGGCGAGTCCAGCGGCAGCAGCTCGCCCGGCGGGAGCAGCCCGGGAGCCGCAGCGGCGCGGGGCCGGGCCGAACCGTGCCGAGCCGAGCCCAGCCGAGCCCAGCCCAGCCGCACACCTGCTCCTGGCAGCGCCCGCGCCCGGCGCCAGCCGCGCTCCGAGCGGCGACGGTGACTCCCTTCTCCTGGATCCCCGGCTCCGCTGCCAGCGGCGGCTAGCGAGCTGCCGAGACAGCACTGCGGAGGAGCCCTGCCTTCACACGACAAACCCCCGCTCCGCTGCCTGACAGCAGATATGCAGCACTATCGCCCCGCATTCCACCTCCCCCGAGCAGCGCCGGCAGCCGCCAGCCTGTCAAAATGGCAGCTCGCGGGCCCGCTCTGCCGCCGGCATTACTCACTGGTATGCCCGTTCCTTCTGCGTCCCCCGACGGGATTTTTGTTTATTCCCCGGTACGGCACAGCATAATATGTCACATTGTTTTCCATAAGCAAAATGGCTGGTCCCCTCGGCACCGCCGCAGAGCGCTCATTGGGCTCCTCCGGCTTGCCGGAGCCATGGCAACAGCCAACAGCGGCCCGGCCCGGCCCGGCCCGCCCCGGCACCGCTCCCGCGGAGCGCCCGCGATCCCGAACCCCCCGCGCTTCTCCGGGTCCCCCGCGCTCCCGAACCCACCGCACCTCCCCGAGCCCACCGCGCTCCCCAACCCACTGCTCTCCCCGAACCTCCCGAACCCCCCACACCGAGCGGGGATGGGGCAGCCCTGAGAGCCACCCGGGCCCGGGAGCTGCCAATTACCGTGTGAACATGGCCAGGGAAGCGCTTCTGATGCGCCAAACAGAGGCGCCAAAATTGACTGGGCACTGTATAAGCCCTCAGGGTAAATAATCGTCCTTACTTAGAAAATAACTATCAGAGATAACCATTATACAATAGTCAGCTGGTTTTCCAACAATAAAGCCTAAGTCCCCACTCATTCACAATAAGCTAACCCCTGACATCACAATTCCTAGTGTTCATAAACACACTGGTGGATCTTGAGGAGTTAAAGGTTGCTGCTTGTCAGACGACTTTCAAAGATTGTGCATTGCAATCACCATGTAAACCATTTTTATTCTATTTAGAGTAACTTTTTATTTTCATTTCAGTTAGAAGTAGGAAGAAAAGGAGACATTTGTGAGCAATTAGAAATTGCTCATAAAAATTTCTTTTCTTCAACACCTGTCACAAACTTGTATCTCGACTGCCTAAGGAGTCTGGAATATAAGCTAGGGCGTACAAGAAGCATCCACCAGCCTAAAGTTCTCAAAAAGTATTTTAGAAGCATTAAATGTATCTGAGCAAGCATACTGCATTTCATACACAAGAGTTCTGAGTGTTGGTCAGAACTTCCTGGTTGTTAGCAGGAATTGACTTAATGCATATATGAAATAATTGCATTTCCTTGTTCAGTTATACTTTTCTAGGACTACAGTAGATTTTTCGCCTCTGAATACAATTTGTAGACAAAGCTCTGCTGCTCTACCACTCCCAGTGAATTTGCTGCTCTCAGGATCCAAGGGCAGTGGTGTCACAGTGGAGTCCTGGGCAGAGAACTAAGGCCCACTTGGGTGGATTTTACACATTTCTTCCCTCAGCATCTTTACCCTCTTTTCCTTGTCTAAGTGTCTCTGAAAGTGAGTACTGAGCTCTGTGAAAGTGACCTGGGAGGGGCTCACAAGGAAACAAGTAAGTAAATTCTATTTAGATTTCTGAGATGCTGGAGCTGAAATATTCTGGTATATTTAAATAGGTGCTTCAACATGAATGCTAATTTAGTCTTGTTTCTTTGTCTCTTAGCCTTCTTAAAAAAGATGGGTGGATGTCCACATCAAATTGCAGCTGGGGCTAAGAGTCTGTTCTAGCATCCTGTGAAAGTACTCCCTGCTTCCATGACTCAAACACATATTTTGGTGCCATGACTACTGTTCAACAGTACTTTTTGATCAAAAGGGATGTCTGCTGATATGGCAACCTAATTCTGAAGCTTTTGCCTGGAAAACATTAAACTACTGAAGTAATTATTTACATACTAAGTATTAAAACAAAACCGGCCTGCATTACAAGAACACCATTTCACCACGATTGGTTCACTAACTTTTTTCGTTAATAAGCAACACGAAAGAGACTGCACATCCAGTCTCTTTCTTTGTAATGCACTGATACAGTCACTGACTTAAAAAAAAAAATTAAAATCCCTTCAGTAAGGGAAGACACAAGCAGGTTTTCTACCACTTTATTGCACTAAGTATGGTTACTATCACAATACTTTCCACAGACAGGCTGAAAATAGCTCTTGGAAACATAATGGCCATGAGTTTTTAAACATTATGTTACAGCTTGGAAAGCTTTCAGGATGTCTGTCCATATCTCAGTATCTATACATACGCAGGCACCTGAAGGTATGGTGGAAATATATCAATTAAAATGTTTTTGATTTTTTTAAAAATAAAAACCTGTTTTAAGATTTCAAGTTCATAATTCAATATTTAGGGATCTAGAACTCTGTAATGCAGGCACACTTTTATCCAGAAAAGGCTTGTGGAGCTTTTTTCTGCAGTATCTCATAGGTCTTAACAATATATACATACATGCAACCTTTCCTTCTCTGCAGTTTCATAAGTGATTAGGCAGAAATTAGAAGAGGCTTAACCCAAGTGCAGATCATGGCTCCAATACAGCAAACAATTAAAACACAAATTGTGAGAAGCTAACCCGAGTTTACCTAAAAGCTCCACAGAAGTCCTAGAAACAGTTTCTGATGCATGCTCTGCGCAGTCATAAAATTTCTTCTGGTAAAACTCACTAAAATCATAACATCAAAGGATGTGAACTGGGCCCACAGTGAAGCTGTGAGACTCAATACCCTCTGGTAGTTCCCCAAAGCTCAGTTGCACTGGTATGTTTGTATTTCTAGGAAAGCTCCAGAACCAGGCAGCTGAAATAGTGACTAGCATGCTCCCCTTACATAAAAATTTAAGTGCAAGGCATAGAGTCATACTAACCCTACAATGAGTATTTAAGTGCTTAAAGATAACCACTTGCCTGCTGTATTAGAACAGAGCTGAAAATAGAACACATCATTTGGTATCTTTGCTCAAATCCTACTCCCACGTTAATTCAAATGAGCTTCCTGATCTCACTTGTAGTACCTGGAGAACAGTTGCTCACATCAGAGCAATCAGAGCTGAAAGAAAACTAGTATTCACCAATTATTCACCAGAACATTGCTAACAGTCTTCAGTTTTGGGACAGAAATAACATTCTCAGCCTTATCTACAGATACTTGTATCAGCATGTCATTCACCACTGTAGTTTTAGCCTGTCCTGCTATTTTCCTTCACAAACTGGTTTCCAGCTATCTCAAACCAGCTCCATACAATATAAAACACATACTTCCATTAAGGCAACATTTAATTCTTAAACCAGGAACTGTGATTTGCATACAATTCATTAAAATTCATTGATTTATGAATAATTAATTTTGCGTTGTTTTAAAAGCATGAACAATAACAAATGTCAAAAGGCATTGTCACTCTTGGAAAGAAAATGTTAAAAGAGCAGATTCTAAGTTAAGAAACAATTACTATATTAAAATCAGCATTTTATTTATTGCATGGCATTGAAATGATTCCTAGGTTTATTAACTATCCAAGCAGGAAAACACCTAGTGTTCAGCCATCCTGAATATCCTTAACAATTACTGATCTTTCTGAGCCTCATTCAATTTCTGTAATCACTTGATGATACATTATGAAGTCAAATTGGACTTTTATAATAATTTTAAAAATCATCTATCAAAGGTCTCAAATTTAAAAATACTGATTTTTTTTTTTAAGTATTTTTTGGTCAACTTGCTTGAATGCAAAGCAGTAGATAAACACAATGAATACCTGTAGGTCAGTGTGCTGAAGTACAGAGTAGTTAACATTGTTTTTCCCAGGTTCCAGGTGATGACAAGCCTATGAAAAAAAGCACTGATATCCAAATCCCAGGACATTTCTACAATTAACTGCCTGAGACACAACCTGTAGATGAGTAAACTGTAATTCAGACATAAAGACTTCATTTTATCCAGGGTCAAACTTGTTTGTAGCTCCCCCAGTTACTGAACACTCAGTGCAACTCTAGTTATTGGCTTTGTATTTTCAGGTTCTCACCAATAACAACTCTGATGAATTTTGTGTACTGTGGATTCCATCAGATACTTGACAAAGATGCTGACAGAGAATTCTATCTAGATTAAATGGAGCAATGAGCTGATTTAAATATTTAAGGTGTGTCATGCATTTAAATAAACCAATCACAAGAGCATTGCAGAAACATTTTCTAGAGTATATTTGCGAAATTCTTATCACAGGAAATATATTCTTTTATTCACAATTGCCCTTTGATACACATTCCTCATCACATGAGTGCAGCCATAAAACAGGAGAGAAGAAACTTTGATTTTCTTAAAAATAAATATTTAAAAATTTTAAAAGGAAACCCTGAAGCCCTTTTGTAATTAATTAGAGATGAAAGAGTCTTAACCTAATAAGACTAGATCCCTCATGTTTTATACCAGGGTTAAAAATGCTACTGAATTCCTGGAGCAATTTCTACATTATTTCCTATCCTACATTTAGTATTTTACTTTCTGATATAAATTAGTAAGAAGGCAGCAATGAAGGTATAACTGCCTTAAATACAAAATATAACAAAAATTAAATTAAGCCGCTTTTTAGTTGCTTGGACATACAGTTTTGTATTAATTTCTGTTGTATTTTAAGTAAGATAAAAAAGAATCTAAAATAGAATAATTATTTTTCTTTTCTGTTTGCTTGGCTATGAAATTTGATTATTTAATGCATTATATAATTAAATATATATATGCACACACTGTAACATATATGTAATTTTTTTTCACTTATCCCAAGAAACATCTCAAATTTTATGGTGTATTGAGCAGATTTCAAATCAGGAGAGCTTTAGTATGGATAAATATTCAATTTTCAGATCTTTAAGATGTCATTTGAGAGAAGAAATGTGAACTTTATCTCAAAAAGACATAATATTCAAGGTTCTCCCAAAAAATGAATACTTAAACATGCAGTTTTAAGAGAAAATAACAAACCTTCAAAAGAAAACTAGCACACTGAAAAGAAGTGTCTTAAAGTTATCCTCAGAATTTTGGAAATAGCACCAAGAGGTCAACTGTGACCTAAAGCAAAACAAAAAATGAGAAACTGCTACTGAAATGCACTGTGCTTTCAGAGAATGCCAAGGATATTGTCAAGACAATTAATAGTTTATCTGGTCAATTTGTACTTGAAAGTTTTCCAGTCCTGATTGTGTCATGTACTGACAGTTCCATTAAATAAGTACATTACTTCATAGCCCTAAGCAAGAGTTCAGATTGAGTTCTGAAGAACATCCCAGGCCACCTAGTTTCCAGAACCCAAAAAAAG